AAGTGTTAATAATTCCAATTTCATTAGAAAGTAAATCCAGATGATTATGTGTGCTAGACGAACAGAGTTTGGAAAGAAGGGAATAATTGAGCCAGCATGTTAAAGCGAGTGAATTTTGAATGTATGAACAACAGACTGTCATTATTTGCCATTCATCACCTGATTTCTGTACTAACAGCATTTATACAGCCTTTGACAAGGTTGTGTTCAGTCTTTAAAATGACTGGTACACGGAGCTGCGTGCTGATTGGTGGAGCCGTGTGTTAATAAACACAGCTCATTAATCATACAGAGAGGCCTGCAGGGCAACATGACAGCATATGTTCATTAGCGAAGCAAAGCGCAAAGAATAAAAGACAGAGGGAGTCATGGGTCACTCTTTTCCAAACATTTCCTTATCTGACTGACAATATACACTGTCATGAGCCTATAGAGTTATTCACCCCCAAACAAAAACCTTAAACATCATCTAAAAATCATATTTGATTACACTTTATAACTTCAATACAACAGCAACAAAAAATATAACGCTTTGCAGATTGATGGCTCATGTACAATATATGTGACAATATGTTAATTAAAAATGACAGTAAATGTACATTAACTAAGGATCTGTTAATAACTTTATTATATTTGTTATTGCTATTTTTAGGGATACATTCTCAATATGACAAACTCAAGAACAGCTTATAAAGGACTTGAGACGAAACCACAATTTACTAAATGTTTCAAATATAACAAAGAAAGCACTCAGAAGTGAGAAGGATCGTGGGTAATGCATTGCAGCATGAAAACATACAAAGCTGAATGCAAAAATACTGTAAGAAATGGCTTTAGCTGAATTGTATTATTTATTTTATTCCTATTGAATGAATGAAATCCTTTGCAGCAGGGAATGTGCCAAGCCAGCAGTGTAGGATAACAGTGTCTTCTCAAACAGGAAGTCTCAGAAGAATTATGCAGGGCTATCACATTCTACTGCAATATAAATGCTAAATAAGGCATGACCCATACTCATGAGGACCTAGCTTTGTATGGGACAATTCAGTGTGTGTGTGTGGGTGTGTGACTAATGTAACTGAATAAGCTCTAATATGACCACACACTGTTAAAGGTTATTCAGTGGTTCTTTGCAGCAACCCTCTTCAGCAAAGAACCCTCTTCTAATCAAAAACACTTTGTGTTGTATATGGCGCTTGATTTGGCTACATGATTAAAAACATTCTTTATGTTGTATTATATTTTCTTCAGATCCGTGTAATAAACATAAATAGATTGTGCATTACATTTCAAATTAAATTTAGCCAATGGCATTTGAGTATTTGAATTTACATTCACCCATATGTGCAATATTTTATGCAAAATAAAAATGCTAATTCAATTTCAATAACAGAATTTCCATTTGCCATTTCTTATTACTATTTAATTTAAATATTAAACTGAATAAGTGATCATTATTAAAACGGAAATATACTAGCTGATATGTTTAAAGTGTTAATGCAATAAGAGTAGCAAAATGTCATTTACACTCACAATTTGACATTTAAAACTGAATTTCCATTAATACTGTGTGATGATAGCAAGTTCAGTAGGCTTCATGCTTCCATGAATAAGTGAAGGTGTCATATTTAAATGGAAATGAAGTGACTTTGTGAGTCTGTTTTTTATACACTGATTGTGTTTAGTTTAAAAGTGAATAACTTTGAATGTTAAATGTCATCCAGTTTATAAAAAGCATTTATGGTTTGGTTTTGATGGAGTAATTGAGCCTTGACAATGGGTCTAAGGAGATGAATAAGATATCATATATGATATTCTAAAAAAACTAGAAAAAAATGTGTAGCTTAAAAATGTTATACAATGACAAAGATACAAAGCTCTTTTGTTCTACATGCACATGCTCATCGTTCACAGTTTAATGCATTCACAGTAGAAGCCACTAAAATCACTATAAAGAGCAGGTCCAGAATGTGCTGTGCTACGGCTCAGTGAGAGGAGAGCAGCCTCATTTACACCTCAGAGAGAGAACTGAATTTATATGTGGTCTCTCGGGTGAAAGCCAAATGTAATGACATGTCCATTAGTTCATATGTTCATATGATGTCTAAGAGACATACAGAACAGAGTCAACAGCTTTCATCTGACAATAAAGTAGGATCTAGAAACAGTAGCTCAAAGTTCCCCCTGGGACATAACTACGAAGAGAAGTCATGGAGTTTAATGAAGAAGGGATGTCAGATAAATTGCGACTGCTTTTTATACTCAGAGCACCATGACTGACAGAATTATATGAATGTTCACTCCAGGTAGGAACTCTATTTAAAAGGCTCTTAAACTGCTACTGAAATTTTAAAGGGCATGAATGATCTGTGATGGCTCTAATGCATCATATCCTTTTGGATAATGCACAATTATGAGTTTACACTTTCAATTAAGAGGGAATGTAATAATTGTGGTTATGACTTCCACGCTGAAGAAATGAGGTTTTTGCCCTGACAGATCTGAGCAGATAGAGTCTCCCATTATAGTTCTCCAGAAAATCATCCTAAAAGATGAAAACTAAGGACGGAAATATGATGAGGAGAAAGGGTCTTTGCATGCACTGTGGTAACCAGATGAGAAACGTAAGGGCAGAATATTGATATTATTGAATGAAAGAATTCTCAGCACGTGGACAGGGGCCTGGTTTGTGCTGTTGTAAAGAAGTCTGACTATGTATTAAGGTATTAAATGTATTAATTCGTTTAAATATGTATTAATTCATATAACCTCCTGGGATTAAGCTAATATTTTTGTACTTTATAGAGGTTATTTGTATTTTCTTTCAGAGCATATATGCCACATATTTCCTGATGAACACTCTCTCTTTTGTTTTGTTTTTTAAACTGGCTGACATCACAGTTTAAAAATTATATAGGAAAGAGTAACAATTTGTATATTATTTTGCAATTACAATTGTGTTTGACTGATTTGCCATTTTCTTGTAAATTAAAGGGTTAGTTCACCCAAAAATGAAAATTCTGTAATTTCTTTAGGAAAAAAGTATTTGTTAAAGCATTAAAAGCCATTAACCAAGCCAACCAGCTATAAAGTGAATCGCAACATTACAGACAGTACTTAAGGGAAATAACTACAATGCCAGGAAGCACTGCAAATGACATAATCGAATTAAAACCATGGAGAAATATAAAAGCTGTTTATTATATCTATTGAAAAAATATATTTTACATTTAATGAAAAACAACATTACAATAAAAATAAATGGACGGCTTCAACAAACATACCACGGATTAACAACCTTGTAGCTCACAGTAGGTCTATCTTAAAAGGTTTATAAATTATTGGTAAAAATACATTTCTATATGGAGAAAATGAATAGAGTTTTTATTTCCGGAAACCCAACTGTTGCACTCTTTCACGTATATAGTCTTTAATAAGTACCATTTAGAGATTGTGCGTGAACAAGGCAAAAATACTGTTAAGACTTTAGGTAAAAGAAGTTGTAATATTACCATCAGATTACTCTCATGATGTTATGTGTGAACAAAGTATAAGTTTATGCTTGGTATGAGCACATACAAGGTCAGGATGCACGGATGTAAGAAGTCATAAAAGCATACTATGATTACTATGCAATGTTTACAGTAAGCTACATCTCAAGACCCTGCCTTTATTTCCATTCATCAGGACAGAACCTATGCAGTTTGATACTATTGTGCAGAATCTCGTGTTTTAACCTATTGCAAAAACGTGTTCTGCGTGATCGGTCCTTTACGCCTGTCACTAAGAAGTCAAAAAAAAGTTGTTAAATTGCACAGAAAGTGAAAATAAATTGCTTTTCCTCATCCAGGCGGATGAAGACAACATCACAGTGTTTAAAGGTCATTTACAATGACTGGCATCACAGAGTTTACTAGTATTTTTTTTATTTTTTTTATTTAGTCATTTATCCAAAGCGACTTACAAATGAGGACAACAGAAGCAATCAATTGTAGTATTAAAACAACTAAAATTTTACTATTTAATATTTACTATACTATTTTGGGGCTCGTGTTTGAATGGTCCCTTAACAGTAAAAAGCCAGAACACCACCGCTCGTGTGAATAGCATGTTTTTGTATTTAGGGCAAAGCCAATCTGTAATTTACAGTGTTTAATGTGTGTAAGGGGCTTATAATGATTCTTGTACAAGAAAGAAAAAATCTATGTCCTCTGTTGAGGACAAGAAGTCTTTCACTACATAGCTGAACAGGATAAAAAACTATCTCAGCTCTTAGCAGTTTCCTTGTGATCTGAAGCAAAATTGTCCAAGACAATAGGAGCTGTCATTTCAGTGCTGACTTTAACTTCCTCTGCAATAATTCAAACACACTCTCTGCCTTTTATTCTTTCTCTCTCTCTCTCTCAGTTTATATTCCATATCCAAAGTATCGGTTTATTCCTAGAAAACCCATATAAAAGGAAATAAAGGTACTATTCAATAATAAAAAAGTGACATAGCCCAAAATACATTACAGTGACAAAGAAATATACATTGGAAAGTGTATTCCTCTGGTGTAAAGGACAGAAATTTGACTCACAAATCAAAGTGCATCATTAATGTGGAATTTAAAGCGGAAGAGGGTAATTTCTATGCCACTACCATCACCAAATGGAACTGCAAAAATAATAAATGCTCCAAACATGTTTAACTCTCCCTGTCTGCCATTGGTCAGTCAACACATGGACCCGCCCCAACCTTAATCTATTGGCTAGTTGGAAATATTTAACAAACAGTGTCACCGAGCAAAAGTGTGAATCAACTTAATAGCTTACATATAATTGTTTAATGGCATATTTTCTGTAACACTGTGTAAAACATTATTTTCCTTTCACTGAGGTTTCAAATGGAGATTATAATAAGCAAAACATTAACCAATGCCATAACATTCAGTAAACATAACCCATAGACATTCTCAGGTTCATTGAACTACTATAAACACGTAAAGCTCACATACTCACCGTCCTTGCGGTGGTAGGTGATTTCCACTTTGCGTTCCTCCGAGCCCAGGAGAGCCTGTGCTACCTGCGCAATAGCGTGCCGCTTGGTCAGCTGTCCGTGCAGGAAGTCACAGGTGCACGGCTTCTGCATGATGTCCGGCCGGGAAAACCCTGTCATCTCACAGAAGGCATCATTGCAGTAGATGATGGCACAGTTCTGGACACGTGCATTGGCTATGACAAATCTCTTGTCTGTAGAAACAGGCAGAAAAGAACATTTTTGCTATAAAGAAAAGTGTATATAGGTAGTGGAGGTGAAAAGATATAGTAAATAATTTTCAAAGCTTTTATAAAAATGTTATTTTTTTCTGCCATATGAGCACTTGTGCTTTGGGCAGAGTCAGTGTACCTTTAGATTAGCAAATGTAGGGTTGTAAATTTGAGTCATAAGGCCAGAAAGCCTTGCAAAATTTTATGACGTTACACTGGCTATGTTTACATGGATGCTTTTTGTTTAAATCTGAATGAAATCATTCTGATTGATGAATCTGAACGTAGTATTTACATGAACACTATATAAAGTGATCGGGTTGATGTGCACGTTTTACATGTCACAAGCTTCAATATCGGCTTTGATCTTTTGACATTCACACACTGCATGAATATACAGAGTTTCTAGATGTTTGCACATACTATTCTCCTACCATTGCTTCTTTTCTTAGGTTTTAAAGAGCAGACTTAAAATTGATCTATTTTGGGACCTAATTAGGAGACAACGAGCACAAGAAGCTTTGTGCCGTGCTGCTTTTATCAAGCAGTGAAATCGCCTAAACAAGCCGTCTGTGAATGAGAGTATGAAGTGAAGACTGATGGGACTTTGTTCTGCGCCACTTCACAGACGATGATTGGAAGGAGAATTTTAGAATAACATGACACTCGATTTGAACCTTGATTCTACCAAAACAACAGCTCCTTCCATGCTTCACACGTCATTACGAAATTTCTGCGCCATTGCACATATGCAGTACTTTTCAGTTTTGGTTTTCAATCCGATCAAGGACTTACATGTCCTCTCAATCAGATTAGAAAAGATCTACACCACTCCTTCCAATCCGATCGAAATTTCATTTGGATCAAACTCAATCGGAATTAAGGTGTTTATATGAAGGCTTTTCAGTCTGATTGAGCCATCAATCTGATTATTAACGTATTATTTGGTTTCTACTATTCACACCATATAAGCAAAAAAGAAAACTTTCTTACATTTGTAGGTGAATAATATTATTAACCGTCCATGCATTCATGATGGAAATAAATTGTATTGCATCAATAAAATGGGAAAGTATGGAACAATTTAAAGGAATATTTAGGGTTCAATAAGTAAAGCTCAATCAAGCAATTGTAGCATAATGTTGATTACCACTTGTCTCTCCTTTTCTTTAAAAAAGCAAAAATCCAGGTTACTATGAGGCACTTACAATGGAAGTGAATTGGGCTAATTTGTACACTTTAGTATTGCAAAATTACAGCCACAAGACATAAACAATATAGGTTAACATGGTTTTACTTTGATTTAGTAACCTTTTCCTGTAAAAAAATTTATATAAACAGCTTCACAGTTCACATTTTAACAGAAGAATTGATGTACAGTACTGTATAGTGCTTTTACAAAATATGCTTCCCTTTTTTTTTAATTCTCCAAAATTGGCCCAGTTTATTTCCATTTTAAGAACCTCACCTCTTCTTCTATTTAAAGGGAACCGGGACAAGCCTAAATTCTTTTTTGTGGTAAGGTTCCTTTAAAAAACATTTACGCAAATGGTCTTGTCACAAATGTTTTTAATGTTTTGTCTACCAGAAACTGTCCTTCTCTATTAACAGTTATATTTGAGAGAGAACAGTAGAGACAGTAAGGCATGGAAGAGTGATATTTTGGCAGTGGACACTGGGCCCCTCAGCTGAGCGCCCGTGGTAGTGTGAGTAAACACATTTAACACTCAAACACAACACAAACGGTGACATTTTCAGATGCTGACATGATGTAAACTGAACACTGGGTGACAGAAATGGACAGTTTCCTCCCTAACGGCTAATGGAGAAAGAGTCCAAACACTATCCAAAATCTATTGCGCAGTTAACAACTTAACTTATCAATGTTTACATCAATAATGAGAAACGGTAATAGTACAGCGCTAATAAATCAAAGTAACGTTATCTATTTCTGAGTTTGGACATAGAAGTAAGGCTAAAATAAGTTGCACGGTCAATGTGTGGAGGTAAATTCTCCCTATTTGGAGGTCTCACTAAACAATAAACCGCAACTGAATCGCACCACATGCAGCTCTTATTATTGTTTCAATGAAATAAGCAAACGCTGCTGCAACATCTGGAAGATGACACTCACTTTGACCCTCGAATTTGCGGATGATAATCCCGAGAAACGTGTTCTGTGGCGCGACGTGACCTCGTCGCACCGGCATGATTGACTGCTGGTTGTGCGCCTTTGAATCCGTTGGACGAGCTTCAGGAGCGCTGCGCGAGGAAACGCGTTTCTTTGTGGGGGGTCATTCCGGCGACGTCTTCTTCTTTCCGCCGTTAAATTGTCGCTTTCCGTGATTCATTCCCGTTTTTGTCTTCACCGGTAGTCGCTGTTTGAAACGAAAGATGAGAAAACGAGGCGCTCTGTGAGGAGGCTGCGGGTCTGAGTAGCATCTCAATCGAACTGAAACCCACCGATGTGACAAACGGACACAAACTGACAGCAGTGACGTCTGTCTCTCCACGAGGGGCCCTCGCGCACTGCGCGCGACGCTGTGTAAGGAGACGCTCGAGGAAACGGTATCGGTGTTGCGCGAGAGAAGCCCGGGAGGAGGGCACAGTTCACACGGATCGCTCTTCGCAAACCACGTCAAACAACACAACACGTGGGGTTTTCTTTTTCCACCTTTAGGATATCCATGACAGTGAATTAAAGAGCGGCTGGGACTAAATTAGACAGGTCAATTACAGTGTTATCTGGATCTATAAATTAAAGAGTGTTTATGCAAAAAATGCGACAGCAAATGTACATTTTAACGTGTCAAAACATGAAAAGTAAATAGGTTCGACCTTTGCAAAGTGCTTATTCGAAAGTGGGGTAAATTGGGGACTGTCCATGGTGCTGGAAATACTCCGGAACGAGAGCGTTCCTCCAGTAACAATAACAAAGAATAAATGAACTTTGACTGAAAGAAAGATTCCACATTAATAATTTAGAATACAGAAAAGCTTTTTATCAACAGCCTTCACAATAAAAATCAGCTTTCAATAAAACATAATCAACAAGCAAAAAATCCAAATGGCGAGTGAAGTAGGCTATTACGAATATGGAAAGTGTTCAAACGTTTGTTTATTTAAAAAAAAAAACTAATTTGGAAAACGGATAACATATCCTTTGTATTACTAGAACGAACCAAACGTTTGCATCTATCCACCAAAATACGCTCTTTATAAATAAATATTTAAAAATCTAATTATACTAAGTAAATATTATTGTAAGGCCTTGTCCGTATTCAGTTTAACGCCTGCAGAACACGAGCGCGTGCGTGTGTGCGTCCTCCTACAACTGCAAGACAAAGAAATCACGTCAGCACTTTCCACTGCTTAAACGCTGACTGGTTTACTGCAATTAAATGTTTGTTAGGAGATCATTGTTGCCTCTTCGTGACCTCTGATGTCACGGAAATATGAGGGAAAACCCCGCTGAGGAAAAGGTAAAAGACGAAAAAACAGTGCTGGCATCTAGTGGTGAAAACAAGAGAATGCATTATAAAGGTATTTACTGACCAGCTTGCAACAAAATTAGTCAAAAAGTGTACAATACAGTAAACAGAATTTGATAGCAAGATATTAGATAAACAATATTGTTCAAAAGTTTAAGAATGGCAAGTTCTTTAAAAGATTTTTGACATTATTTTTTTGCTCACCAAGGCATTTATTTTATTTAAAATAAACAGTAACATTGTGACTTACAACGACAATTTAAAACAACTGTTTAAAATATTCCTGTGATGGTAAAGCTGAATTTTCAGCATCATTACTCCAGTCTTCAGTGTCACATGATCCTTCAGAAATCATTCTAATATGCTGATTTACTGCTTAAGAAACATTTCTTCTTATTCATTTCTTCTTATTATTAAAGGGGTCATATGATGCGATTTCAAATTTTCCTTTCTCTTTGGTTAAAAACACTTGTGCTGCTAAACATTTTTGTGGAATCTGTGTTACCTTTTTATGATAAATAGAAAGCATGTAGAACAGCATTTATTCAAAATAATGTCTTTACCGTCACTTTTGACCAAATGAATGTGCCCTTACTGAATAAAAGTATTAATTTCTCATTTCTCTCTCTCTTAAAATCTTACTGACCCCCAAAATTTGATTATGGTACAGTGTGTGTGAGAGAGAAAATGAAAGTGTCAGGCATGCTTTGGAACTGAATGTCAATCAATAAAGTGATACAACCGAAGCACACAGTAAATCAGCTCTTTCTTTCATTAATTATCAGTGCGACTCATCAATATTCAACTGTATGCAATATTCACAAGAATGAAACTTAGAAAGTGACACAGACCCCTTTGGTAATGTCTGCTCCTCTGTAATGGAGAGGTTTATTGACACAAAAGAAGACACGTGTGGTGTATGTGTGTGCGTGTCAATCTGCATGTGTGTTTGTCAGTGTATTTGAGCCACTGTGGGAATCTAATTTGTATTTTCTCAGAATGTCAAATGCTACTTCCCTGCAATCCAATCTGATCTCTGTCAATTATTAAAACAACTAGAAAGGGAAGGACACAGGAGAGAGATTTTAAGACAATGTGTGTAATAGTGATTTGTTTTTTATAGGTTGTGCTAGGCTGGAGATTTAGTTCAGTGCACCATCAATCCGTTAAATATGTTCAGTGTGTAATTCTGAGCAAATGAATTAATATAGCTGGCTTAAATTGGAGCAGCATTTAAAACCTACTCAATTCAACGTTATATCAGTCTCTAATAAACATTTTGTTTGTTTTATAATAGCAAAAAACCCAGCAGCTGTGGTTACTAAAAATGTACCATAAAAACATGATGACAATCTGGAATTATGGAATGCATTTTACTGCCAATATGAAAGTACAGCCTACTGCACTTATATCATTATATCAGTTATCATTAACTTATATAAATGTTAAAAAACAAAGCAACAAAAATGCAACATAAAACACCACAATAACATATGTAATATAAAAATAAAAATAAATAAAAGTGATATCACACATGGGAATGCACTTCTGTTGCTTTTTTTACTAGATTAAAAACAATATTTTAAGTTAACAATATGTTACTGTCATGGTATTGTCTTGTTAAAACTATACAGTGCTGCTTGAAAGTTTGTGAATCCTTCAGATTTCTGCATAAATATAACCCAAAAGTCCTGAATGTTGACAGAGAATCCAATCAAAAATTAAACAAAAAATATACAGGTGCATCTCAATAAATTAGAATGTCGTGGAAAAGTTCATTTATTTCAGTAATTCAACTCAAATTGTGAAACTTGTGTATTAAATATATTCAATGCACACAGACTGAAGTAGTTTAAGTCTTTGGTTCTTTTAATTGTGATGATTTTGGCTCACATTTAACAAAAACCCACCAACTCACTATCTCAACAAATTAGAATACTCCATAAGACCAATAAAAAAAACATTTTTAGTGAATTGTTGGCCTTCTGGAAAGTATGTTCATTTACTGTACATGTACTCAATACTTCAGTCTGTGTGCATTGAATTTATTTAATACACGAGTTTCTCAATTTGAGTTGAATTACTGAAATAAATGAACTTTTCCACGACATTCTAATTTATTGAGATGCACCTGTATACTTTGTCATTTATTTATTCTGGAAAATGATCCAATATTAAAGGGATAGTTCACCTAAAAATGAAAATTCTGTCATTAACTACTCACCCTCATGTCATTTCAAACCATAGACTGTAAAAAAAGATGGACTACACGTCTCCTATTCCTTCCACTATAGAAAAGTGAAGCCAAAGCATCTCAGTATGGCCGCTGCCATCTTGAGTAAATGACGTCATTTAGAGTCAGAGTCTGTGCAGTAGAGATTTGTTTGGAGCCAGAGTCTGCGCAGTAGTGTCGTGAGGTGGAG